ATATGTTATATCATTATATACTGTGAACATTGAATCAGGCTGATCACAAAAAAATGATCTCAGCATGCCAAAGTCAAGTCAGCCTGTGTTTAACTTGTATTGTCTAATTCCATTTCCGCTTGTGAATGTGGAGATAAGTGCCGCACTCCCAGACTCTGATAATGAACGTGTGTGTATGTCAGGAATACAATAGATGTGTCATGAACATGCTTCATCTAATGCCTATGAGCACTTAGCATTCATGTGCATATCATGTATACTAAAAAAAGAAGCTGCATGTTATATATCTGATAAAATATGTTTTAAAATGTATATACAGTATATGATTACACATTTATTGACTCATATATAGAGAAGTGGGAAGTGAGAAAAAAACTAATCATTTATGGATCTCCATAGTAATTGCCTTTTTTTCCCAGTATGATATCACTTTATTGCTTCAAGACAGTCTAATTTTATGATATTTTGCATGGTGTTAGGCAGTTTTCTAAACGCTAAGAAAAATGGGGCAGCCCTCGGAGGTGCAGTGCAGATGTTATGGGATTGTAAACGGGATGTACAGCCTCAAATCCTCTGACAGTTTTTCCACCTCCCATTGCTTTTATGTTAACTGTCTGAATTGGCATCTTTGGGAACAAGCTAAGAATACAACTGCTTTTTTTTTAGTTCTTGACTGCTCATTACAATCCTTACTTTGCAAGTGCAAAAAAAGGAAACAATTGATAGAGTTTGATGGTACTGTAAAGATTAAGATATTGTGCTGGTCTCATGATGAGGGAAGGATGGGCATAGTCAAAACGTCCTAACATCATTCTTATAATGGAAATTGAAGTGTATGTTTAGCCAAATGTTTGAGGCAATGGTAGTATATGGTGCACTCCAAAATAGCTTTTTCCTATATAAGTGACTCCTGAAGTGATCAGAAGATGCTGCTGTCGAGTGAATCTGAATATCATGGGAATCACCAGCACATCAAAAGTTGCTTTAAGACGATTTAAGAATCACCAGGGGTGAAAAACCACAATAATAACTGACAGATTCTAATCATTTCCTACTCTATCCAATACTCAAAAATATCTGGGCTTTAGATACCCTTTGACAGTTTAGAGTGTCCCCGTTTGCAGTGAGCAGCCGGTACACCACCACCCTGAAAAGTATTTTGTGGTAGATCACTTTTCAAAGGGTGGTAGAATAGCGACTGGCCATGGTTCAGGAGGCAATACTACCACCTCATGAATGCCATTTATTTCCTCTTTTTTTAACCCAATAGGGATTTCAATTGCAATACACATACAATGCAACAATTGCAATCAATGAGACCTGGCCACAAGCATGTGGGTACATGGTTGAGGCATGGTTCCATTGATTGCAATTGTTGCACTTGGCAAGCGGCAAAGCCTGCCAAATGAGACATGCTGTTTGAAATTTCCTGCGACTGCAACCCAAAGCATCACAGCCACGGTTTGTATACCAGCCCACTATTTTAGCTTTCAGGTGGGCGGTTGGGGTCAGTAAAAACGCGGATCAACCATCTGTTTTTGCCACCACTCTGAACGAGGACATACTCCCATCTTCACTATACCCCTACAGACACAGAACAACCTGGGAGCTAGTTGTACCTTAGCTTCTTGTGTAGGTAGAACCTGGGAGAAGAAGGAGCACTGGCATTACGTTTTGTTATAACATAAATGATGATGTGTGTAGAAGAAGGGGACTGAATTAAACAGAACTGTGGAGAATTGGCAGCAGTGTTAGTTTCCAACTATCCTCCAAGGCTCATGTGGCCGTGCTTTCCCCCTAATTAAATATCAGCATATGGAAATGCAGAATTAATTATTAAGTTTTGGTGGATTTTGTCCTGTTTTCACCCATGATGGCCAAATATATGAGGAATCAAGCACAGGCTGGGTGACACTGTGTCTCAGTAGAGAGTGAGAGGCAGGGGTTTGAGCTTGAAGGTGGTTAGATGTCACCCCCAGGGACAGTTCAGTCAGTTGACAAATACTGAAGAAACGCACAACCCACCTTTCCCCCAAGAAAATCTGGTGTGAGGGAATTTATCTTTTAAAGGAAAGCTAAACTAAGTTATTACAGAGGCTGCCATTGCTGATATCTCTTTTGAAAAATGTTAGTTCCATGGCTTTCACGCTGATCTAATAGATTAATTACTCTCTGGAATCAATTTCAGATCGAGATTTCTAACTTTCCTGACCGACCTGCTTAATCAAGGTGAGTGACTCGAATCAGGGGGTCATTAGCAATGGCAGCCTATATAGTTGTTTTAGTACAGGCGTCCTTTATAGCTGAATTTCAGCCTTGCCTTCCATTTTGGACAGTTGTACAGACTCTTAGTATAATTTTACTACACAATGTGAGCTCCACACAGTGTGCATTAGAAGCTCTAGCATCTAGCTCTTTCCTCCACAGTCTCGCTGTCTTTGGTCCAGCCCTTTCATTCATTAGATTCCAGTTCTCTCAATCATGGAGGCTAAGCATCACATGTAGGTATTGCCATGGCTTCCTGTTTTCAGGAAGCTATATAAAACTCCCTGCAGGACCCTCCCACTAGCCATGATCTGTCTTCATTTTATAGAGAAGCACAAAGACCAAGCCATGGGGGTTGATTTACTAACCTTATAAACACACCACGAACGTGTATACACCTCTGTAGTGTGTTCCCTCCCAGCATGATCTATGAGTGGAATCTAAACACCTTTGTAGTGTGTACACACCCCGCAGGTCTGTTGTGCAAACCCTGCCCTGAATTGCAAGGTGATGTTGTGTAAATTAGCTCTACATTGTGTTGCTTGCGTTGATGAATGCAGGAATGTAAATGTATGAGCTAACCATTTTTGTCTAAACTGTGAAGCAGCATTATATATGCATCATGTGCATGATTTTTCCATATATGGCATTAGTGGAAACATGCTTATAGAGACTTTATGGTTGATAAATACGCTTTGCTGTGTAAAAATCACACGCACCTGGTGCGTGCGTGTGTTTAGGTTAGTAAATCACCCCCATGATGTCATTGATCTAAAATAAGGTATTTTAGATTTTTTTTTTATAATTTCATCAGTATGGATATGAGGGGAGGACAAAGAATAACAAGGGAAGCTAAAATATAAGCAGATTAAAGGTTGGCTTTAAAGCTGAGCTCCAGGCAAACAACTACAGTATATACACAGATGTAATATAATCAATATTTTTCTGTCTATTCAGTCCTGAGATTTTTACAGCCCTGCCACATAGCACAGCCCTGACTGCCACATAGCACAGCCCTGACTGCCACATAGCACAGACCTGACCTTTCTCTGCTGCAGTGTAATAACACTTACAGGTTTGTTCCTTCCTAGCATGTGACTGGACAGTGAAATGAGAAGCAGCATCCTCCTGATGAGCTAATCTCTCTAATCTCTCTGTCTCTCCTTCTAACATTATACCCATTTTTGGCAATGAAGCACAACTGATCGAGTCCTTCCAAACGGTTCTCCTCATCTGATCTCATGATATGCTGGTACCAGGTCAAATTCAGGCATAGTATTACACTCATATGTATTTATGAGTGCAGAGCTGCATTCATTTGTGTCTTTTGCATTTGCCTGAAATTCAGCTATAAACGTATCCCATATTTCATTGTGTCATTATCCATAATATGGTCACATTTAGCCCCATTTACGTTCCTAACAAAACAAACGCCTCCAAATGTGTGATTCTCTTAACAAAATATCTTCTAACATCCGAACATACTCTCCACACCTTTTTAGCTAGCATTAGCTTTGAATGCACAATTAGGGGTTCCTGTTAGGCTGATGCAATTACTACCTGTTAGCTTGACGGTTTCTCGAAATAAAATTGAATTTACTTGTGTGGACTATTGTAGCGTAACTGTATTGTTTGTCACTTTTAATGTCCTTGAATGACTGCAACAGTTTTCGGTGTGCCAATCACACAACTCATTTTCTTTTCTTCTCTTCACATCTTGTTGTTCTAGTTTTCGCTCTGAATTCTGCATCTTCCGGAGGTGAGAATGCTAAGATGTCTCTGATGAACAAGTACAAGGAGAGCATGATATCTAATAGCTCAGCCGACCCCAACAACCAGCCCACGACGCTGCTGTCACACGGTGCTTCCAGCCAGCATAAGCGAATCAACAGCAAAATGCGAGGTGCCCGTGTGTGAGAGTCTGTGTGGGTGCATTTCTCGCATTGCGTAAATGCCTGTTTTGCTAATTAATGTCAGTGCATATGCTGAGCTGACGTGTGTGTGTGTGTAAGACATATTAGTTATACTGTCTATATAAGTATGTGTGGTTTTGAATTATTTTAGACTTAGGGCCCACATATTTATTATAATGTCTATATAAGTATGTGCAATTCTGAATGACTTTAAATTTAGGGCCCACATATTTGTTATACTGTCTATATAAGTCTGTGTAGTTCTGAATGACTTTATACTTAGCGCCCACATATTTGTTATAATGTCTATATAAGTATGTGCAGTTCTAAATGACTTTAGACTTAGGGCCCACATATTTGTTATAATGTCTATATAAGTCTGTGTAGTTCTGAATGACTTTAGACTCAGGGCCCACATATTTGTTATGTCTATATAAGTATGTGTAGTTGTGAATGACTTTAGGCTTAGGGCCCACATATTTAATATAATGTCTATATAAGTATGCGTAGTTCTGAGTGACTTTAGACTTCGGGCCCAAATATTTGTTATGTCTATATAAGTATGTGTAGTTCTGAATGAAAGTGTGCATTGTATTACAAACTGCCAAAGCTATCACTGTTTACATTTTTGTAAACTTTATTAGTCATGTACAAGGTGTACACTCCATTCAGATCCCTGCACAGCAGCATGGTGTGCTGCCATGCGGTGACCTGCGATGGCATTCAGTGCACTGTGACAAAGACGACTTGTTTGCTTTTCTCCGCAGTATTATGCACCACCCATCACACCGGCGCTGTGGTGTGAGCAGGGCACGTAGAAAACAATGGTTTCATATGTGTCCTAGCTGTGTCCTGATCCCGTGCACTAAAATGCAAGTCACTGCTATATGTGTGAACGGGCCTTAACGTCCTTATGGGAGGTATGCAATGTAGCCTCTTGCCTCTTATGCCGCTGCAACACATCTGCAGCTGTTTACACTGCATAACTCAGTATTTATCTACCACTGAGCATCAGCAGCAAAAAATGTGGTGGCAAAAGTGGGAGCCATTTTCGCACCAACCAAGTCCATCCAATGCGTTATTGATAAACATGTACCGCTGCGTATTTTAAGTAACATAAACCGTTTTTATGCTAAGGGCATATTAATAAAGCAGTGAATGTGACTTTCACCAAACATTCACTAATGGAGATTCTATCATTGTCATTTAAAACGCATGCATCAGGATGTTTCAATTGCAGTTAATGTTCGGTGATTGTCAGATTCACCCCTTTATAAATGGCCCCTTAAGTGAGTAGCAATTTATGTTGTGACGGAAAATATTTTACAGCCCAATTTGAACCAAAGAATTTCCTTTCTTAGCTTTGGATAGAACGGGGAAGGGTTAGAACTTCGGTTACCTTTTAATTGTTTGGAAGAGCAAACAATTGAGGTGCAAAGCACAAAACTTCCTATATCATAAATATAGGCAACTCATATGCACAAGACGTCATGGCCTAATAAGGGAATTTTGTATAGTGGATATTAAATAATATACTACTTAAAGTGACTCTCTATTGTGCCCCCCTCCCATGACCTATCTCACCCTATCCTTCTGCAGATGTATACTTACCTCAAACCTACACCCATGGCCTCCGGAGATTGTTGAAATCCAACGCTGCAAGTCCTCTCTCTCTTGGCCATGCCTGCCTTGTAAAGTCCCATAGACTTCTCTGGGAATTGTCTACCTCCATCTAATGGCCGTGAGATGAGCCCCATAGACTTCTATGGGCAGCGTGGGATGGCATCAAATCACAGTATGTATGCATCTGTGGAGGGGGACAGGTTTCTGATGAAGAAGAAATGCTGAAAGAATGAAACATGTTGGCTAAAATTATATCAATCATACAAAACATCTTTGAAAAATAACTATTTGTCCATGCAATTTGTAGGTTTGTCCCTATGGGCAAGAATAGCTGTGCAATATGAACTATTTATTTCTGTCTGTGTCCATGTTTGGGAGATTTCGCCTCATTTTCAGTCTATTTCATGGGTGTCAGACAGAATAGGAAGTAAGGGGACACCCCCATATACACACAGACACACACACACATATGGTGGGGAAGGGTTATTAACTTCTGTTAGGACTTTATTGCTGTCTGTTTCTTTTTTAGGAGCATTTTTTTTTTTACTTTTGTACCTGTCTAGATTAAGGGTGCCAGAATAGGCAATCTTTTCTACTGGGACAAAGACAGCATTCATGATCTGACAGAGACTCCAATCCTTTCCTACTCTACCCAAATCTAATAAATAATGTTTTAGCAGAAATTCAGCTTTAAAGGGTTATTTCATCCCAAACTCATATTTGAGTTTTTAGTAGATACTTAAGGGTTTAAACTATCTAATGTCTCCTTATAGTTCTCAGAGACTCCACCAGTGAGATCTCCATGGTTGAGTTTCAAGTTCTCATTACAAGGGGATCCTACTTGCCTTATATTATGGTGAATACAAAAGGAAAAGTGAGAACATCCAAGGGTGATTGTGAACTGCCAGCAGCCCCAAAGTGTTCTGAAACAGAGCCAGGTTGTACCTGTAACAGAAATATTGTGAATGAACTGATCTTTGAAAGTAGAACATCAACCAAAACCTTCTTTTTTCTAATTTTCTAATTATTTTTTTTGTAGTCTGTTGCCTCACCAAGGAGACTTCCCACCACTTCTTGTCCCAGTGATACAACAGATAGGCCTGGGGAAAAAAAAATAAACAAGAAAGGTAAAGTGGAAAAGCAAGGTTCGTTAGATTGCACTTACCTAATTGGGGGAATCTAGTGTGGTGGCATAGAGGAGCGGCTCCAGTGATGGTCTGAAGGGAGGAGCTTGAGATTTTCAGATGTCAATTTTCCACTCCACTGCCCTATATTACTGAAAGTAGAATTACCTATTTTGAAGTCATGGCAGCTAGTAATGTGTTGGGTATCTTTGAAGATGGCCAATTCGATGGTGATAAGAAATGGTTGTGGACCAATCTTGGATGTTTCCTCCTTAACTGGCATTGACCTGCTATTTGATGAAGATGTGGTTAGTTTGCAAAATGGTACCTGAGGCAATGTGGTGTTAACAGGGGCCTCTTGTATGGACGCTGTTTGCAGATTCACTGATTTTGTTCTGTTGTTAAGGATATTCAGCCTAAGTCCTTTCCCATTACAGAAATATTATTTAGGATGTGTTTGAATTTTGTATTAAAAGGCTGATATGGCCATTAAATTCCAGTCAAGTATGGTTTGACTCTTTTTTGGGAAGTAAGGAGACTTGGTAGAGGCTGAAGATGGCCAAGCGGTGGGCATAAATCTCCTCAACAGGGACACACACAGCAAAAAAATTCTGTCAGGCTTTAAACCTTAACAGCTTTCATTGATGTCGGTGTCACCTTTGGAGAGGTTATCCTCATATTCTGCCCTGAAAAAAACAACAGCAAGTGAAAGCAAATCTCCCCAACTGGGACAAAGACAGCATTTAAACATAACAGAGTTTCTAACCCTTCCCTACTCTAACAAAAACATACAAAAAAATATTTTGGGTGTAGTTGTACTTTGAGAAATGTTTGGGCAGTACATTGGGATAAAAAAAATAAAAAACCTATCATCTATGTAAAGAAAGCAAAACATGCAATGCGATTTCTTGTTTTTATGTGTAATTGTAATTGGTGAGGCGTTCAGTTTTTTATATTATTGTTTCTTTTTAAATGGGTTCCAGTCAGAGGTAGAAAACAAACCTGCTGAAGGCAGTAGATACATAAGAGACACACATGTGGATGAAATAGTCACATATGTGGATAGTGACTTACATGTCCTTGTCACAGGTATAAAATACCCACAGTCAGCTCTTTATCCTTGCTGGTAATTCATTTTGCAAAGTCAATTTCCATTCACGGCAATTTAATAATAAGTCTGCTTTGCCTACAGTTGTACAAAACCTGTTATTGCAAGCGTTGATGATCTAGAAAAGAGTTTATTGTACCTTGTTAGCCATAGATCATAGCAGGAAAATATAGGAGATACCGTTCATAGATACACAAATCTATTTTGTCATGTAAGCCTCTGAGAATATTCAGCTGTCTTCATCAGGCATGGCGTCCTGTCCTTTATCACTTTCCTGTCTATTTAGTTCTGTGACATTAATACACGTTCATTACTTGTTGTTGTTCGTAAGGTTTCATTAATAAACACTGCTTATTTCAACATTATTATTTTTTGTGTTCCTTTGTTGGTAGTGTGATAACTTTGCGTCAAGCTGACATGAGTACCAATGTATGCAGTTGATGCTAAATACTGTTCATGGAATAATAGTCACTTCCTTCTTTTTTAACATTTCTATAGAGGATTTGCTCCCAGCTACAGGGAAAGCTGAGGCCTGAGTGTTTTTAAAACAATGTGAGGTGTTGCTTGAAAGCTTTAGCGGAAACTCCTCCAACAATGATGCAATATTTGAAGGGCAAAGTGGTATTGGTGTCTAAAATTATGTATACATTTTCACCACTGCTGTTTGACTCAGCATGATGGCAGGGCATTATGACTGAACCAAGCATGTGTGACAAATGGGGGTGACTCATATTTACTCCAACCGCTCACCAAATACTTCTCAGGTGCTGGGGATGAAAGGTTGTATTCATATTTACTCCAACCGCTCACCATATACTTCTCAGGTGCTGGGGAGGAAAGGTAGTATTATCCATTTTATGTTGGCCTTGCACTGCGGACCTGACTGAATTTTGAGCAGTATGTGGCCCCTTAGGGACCCTCCCACCCTTTTGGGCAACCAGTGACTGCAACCAGTCAGATGTACTGTTCATGTATGCTGACCTTCAGAATACAATAGCATCAGCGGCAGATTCATCCATTCTCACCCTTTAGCATGGATGGAGGAATCTGTTAGATTTCTATTTGTCCACCCCGCATAGCCAACTTTAGTCTTGTAGATTGTAAGTTCTCATGAGCAGGGACCTTTTGTATGGCA